TATTCATGCTGTTGCTAATGTCCCTCAGACAAAAAGCAAGCGCAGTTTACTTCTCTAATTTGTGTTTTTATCAGATCTAATTCTCATCAATGTAATTACTTCACACAGTACAAAATCAACAAATCAAAAGTGTCAGGACAGACGTCAATTAAGTCCATGACAATATAGAATTCAAATGAACATTTCTGGTCTCAAAAAATACTGATTCAATAAAGATTCAAGTGATAGACAATTAAAAATATGTGTTTACATTGGAGTAAACTTTTAAAATGCTTTTTTCTCATGTTCTGCTTTTTCATGTATCTATATGTAAATGTGAATGTGTGAGTGTATGAGTGTGTATGTGTGTGTGTGTGTGTGTGTGTGAATTTTGGGGTTGTCTCTCCAGACTCCACGAACCACCTGTAGGTCTCAAAGGTCACACTGTGGTGATGTAAACCAACTGGACACACTTTCAACTCCCTCTAGGTCTCTACCTGACGCTCCACCCATCACGTCTCCAGATACCTCTCTTTCATGGCCCCGGTCTCTCTCACACCCACTCAGTTCTGCAGTGGCGTGGGGAGGGGCAAGGAGGTGGCATTTTCCTTTGCTCTTTGATCTGTGACCTGTGGCTGGGTGGGCTTTGCGCTGTCCAGTGTCCAGCAGTGACCCCTCCCACAGTGTGCCAGAGTCTGAAAAACAATCCTTGAAACAGCCAATTTAAAAAAACAATAGATATCAGTATGCGAATGAGATTGTTTTTCTCTCTGAAGTCAAAACAATTTGAGCGCTCTGGGTTTTCCCAAGCGCTATGTAAATAAAGATTACTTATTCTCTTACTAATGATGACATTTTAAAACCAGAAACTAAAGAAGTTATCAAAACAACAATTATACTCAAAACAAACAACCTTTTAAACTTTAAAACATGTATTATATACTTTTGTACTGTGTGATTAATTATCTATGCGTCCTTGGGTTTCTTGAAAGACGCCATGAAATGAAATTATGAAAAATCTCTATAAAAATGAACATTAATTTGTAAAAACATTTAAAACAAAACTTGAAATCAAACAAAAGATTTAGCTCCAGCTAAACTGGATTTGGTTCAATAAAACTCAATTGTGCGTCGGAGCTGCCTCCTCATGTCTCTGAGCAGCAGCAAGGTCACGCGTGTAGTCAAAACAAAAACAAAAGTCACCGCTTGAATGTGAATTGGGTAATTGGGTAGTTTAACTTAATAATATAATACTTTTACAGCCTAATTCCTCTTTCTTTTTTAGACGAAGTCTACAATCATTAATCACTTTTAACAGATTCTAATTTAAATGTTTGAAAAACGGCTTTTGTAACTAAAATAAAAAATACATACATGAAAAAATTCTCACTACAAAATAAGCAGCTTTAAAAAGAAAAGCAAAGCTATAATCTTTGGGTTTCATAAACATACTAATTCAAAACTTCTATTTCCCTAATGGATCAAAAAAAAACGTTTAACTGTGTCTAACACAATGCAAATGGCAGATTTAAAATTTAACGGAATAACAAGAAAAGCCAAAGTCCTTTTTTGCTTCATGTATTCACAGCCAGATGCAGCGAGGCGGGGGGCGTTTCCCTGACAACGGCAGCAGATGGAGCGGACGCCACACACACACGCAAGACCGACACAGAAGATAACTTTCAGAGATTACTTTGTTACGAATATAACTTATGTTGTTCTTTATACTTTTGTATCCAAATCTAGAAGGTGATCACTTTTCACACTAGTTAACAAAAAGGCACTCTTTAGTGTTTAACGTTTAACGCTTCTATATTATTGAGGTAGCAAACTCCTTTAAACTCAAATCTCTTTCTAAAAAACAAAAAACAAACTGTGGATTACAACCCTCTCATAGCTCAACTGTGGATAAAATTCGGCAAAAAATGTAAATATTTCACAATAAGCCTCTCATAGCTCATCTTTAGTAAAACTCTGCATTTCTTCCGGTGAACTCTGATCACCTCGCGCAACACAAAAACTCCTTTTTCTGTATGTAATTTAAACCCGTGATCAACTTGAAATATTGTTGCCTTAGTACTTTTTTATTTATCAGGGTCAATTTTCAAAAGCTTTTGTACACAAAGGCCTCCTGAACCCCTATACCAATACTCTCCGCCCCCCCTCACCCTCTCCCCCTCCCGTTCACTCCAAAGGCAGGGACCCCGATACGTCAGGGGTTCCTTTCTCTCTGTCCTGACTACTTCAAAGGACAGGGACCCCGATACGTCAGGGGTTCCTTTTTCTCTCTGTCCTGACTACTTCAAAGGACAGGGACCCCGATACGTCAGGGGTTCCTTTCTCTCTGGTCCTGACTACTTCAAAGGACAGGGACCCCGATACGTCAGGGGTTCCTTTTTCCTATAGGGACTGGTTACCCACACAGCTAACCTGTTTTCTACAACATAAGACATAACAAAGAAAATTTGATTTAGAGAGATTTGGACAGACCTCCGGGACAGCTCAAAATTTAGCTAGTATCCAATTATGCAGACTTTACATATTAAAAAAGGTGTCTGCTTACCTTAATTCTTTGTCCGGACTGTTCGAGAGGTCGACCAACATCTTTTCCGCGTCGAAAAATTCAATTTAAACAAAACAGAGAAAGTGAGGGAGCAAGAGCAAGCCCATCCAAAAGCGAGCCCTTTCAGCGTCCGCTGGGATTTCTCCCCTTCCAGATAACGTGCTGTTGCTCCCACACGCCAAAAAAAAGAAACAGAGGAAATTCCCTCAAAACAATCCAGAGAATGGCACACACTGAGCCGCGCATTCTCCACCAAATCTGTCAGGATTTAGCAGACAGAGACGGATCGTGGTGTGCCAAACTCTGGAAGTTTATTTAAGTTCTCTCAAGTTCCACTGGTTTACTCTGTTTCTTTCTCTCAGACAGAATAAAGGCAGTACACAGTTTATATAGTCATTGTCACGTCACACATCGAAAGACATACGTGTCACAAAGAGACAGTCACATCATAGTCATAACATGGAGTCCTTGTAGAGGTCCTTGTACAGTCCTGCACGTAGGCCATATTGCTATCTAATACTAATAAACTTGCACACCAGTTGTGTACCATTTTTGGTCTTAGCCTGAAAACCTTCTGGTTGTTCCATGTATATCTCATGGTCAATCGGTGCATGCAAGTAAGCTGCCTTAACGTCCATTTGGTTCAGTGTTAAGTCATGCTGTGCTGCCAGCTGCATCAGCACACGTAATGACGTCAAATTAGCAGTCGGAGAGAACGTGTCCGAATAGTCCAGTCCCTCAACCTGACTGTATCCCTTTGCTACATATCTAGCTTTGTATGTCTCGTTTCCCTTCTCATCTTCTTTGAGAGCATATACCCACCTTCCCCCCACTGTCTGTCTACCCTCCGGTAACGGTACAAGTGAGAAGGTGTCATTTTCTTTAAATGTAGACATTTCATCCCTCATTGCCTTCTTCCAGTTTTCTGCTAGTGGTGAGGCCAGAGCCTCTTTGTAGGTCTGTGGCAACCCAACCGTAGCTCGATAACAGTAGTCTATAGTTAACATACTGCTCTGCACTGTACATTCATAGTCCTCCAAGTACTTTGGTCTCTTCCTAACTCTACCAGTTGTAGTTGGGGTCTGTGTATCAGTCCTTGTGTCACTACCTTGGTCTAGTTCACTGATTGTGTCATTCTCATCTGTTTGTGACTGAGTTACTTCATTTGGTTTAATTACCCATTCCACATAGTGGCCCTCTGGTTGATCTGTGTCAGTCTGTGTCTGACTCTCGGCAACGTCTCTAGTTATGAAATGAACCAGTCTGTGTTTCATAACTTTGTTTGTCTCTGGAAAATAAATCATATAAGCTGGTGAACTGCGATCAAAACCAACAAATATTCCCTTTTTCCCCTTTGATCTAACTTCCTCGTGTTTCGTTCATACACCATACAGTTTGACCCAAACTTTTTCATCTTTGACAAATCTGGTCTCTTTCCGGTAAATAAGAAATATGGCGTTTCACCTGTTCTCTTACAGTAACACCTGTTTCTAATGACAGCAGCCGTCCTAGCTGCATATGGCCACAGCTCCTTAGGTAATCCTGATTCTATCAACATGCAACGCACCATTTCAAATAATGTGCGCCAGTTTCTCTCCGCAGTCCCATTTTGATGGGGGGGAGTAGGGTGCTGACCTCTCGTGTTTGATAGAATTGTCCCTTAACAGTGACTGGTACTCTTCAGACGTGTATTCTGTACCATTGTCTGATCTTAGGCGTTTAACTTTACCATAAGGTGCTGTATCGGCCAGGAACTGCTTTGTTGCTTCAACTGCCTTATTTTTGTTCTTAAGGAAGTAAACATAAATGGCACCAGAGAAATCATCAGTAAAGGTAATGGCATATTTATACCCTTCATGTGACTCTGGGGTGATGGGTCCACCCAGGTCTGAATGTATGAGCTCTAAGGGCGCTTTAGCTCTAACATCTGCTTCCCTGCTCCTGCTTTGGGTAAATTTTCCCTGTAGACATGTTTCACACTGGTTTGGTTTGGACTTTTTATCCTTGATTCTCATGCCATCTACAACAGCTTCAAGTTTTTCAATATCACCATAGTTGCAATGACCCATTATTTCATGCCAAGTTTTCAGATCATAACATACATTAGATGAATCATTGTTCTCCTTCACAATGTCCAAATAATACAATCTGTCCTTTACCTTCATTTTACATGTCGTACCATCAGGAAGGATCATTTTGTTGTTGTTCCGCTCAAAATTGAACCTTGCTCCTTTCGAAGTTGCTGCCTCCACAGATAGAATGTTCTGTGGGTATCCTGGAATCAAAAGTGCATCTGTGAGCTTGACTCTCACCACTCTGCCATTGCTCTCGGTCAGCTCGATCTGGGCGTCGCCTTTCTTCAGAACGCTGCCAGCGATCCGCGTCCCATCTGCCAGCTGCATGACGTGGTTCTGAGGCCGGAACGTTTCATCAAACCTAATGAAGGCTTCTTCATGGGTCATGATGTGGGCAGAAGCACCGCTGTCCACGAGAAGACCCTCCGGTTGGACACACAGTGAGGTCTCCATTCACTCGCCCTGAGTACAAACGCCTCTTCATGCTGTCCAGTGTCTTGAACCGTGGCCACTTTGGAGTTCCGCTGTGTTTTCTTGTCTTTGTTTCGGCAGTCTCTTGCTCTATGACCAACCTTTTCACAAATAAAGCATTCGCCATTGAAGTATTTCTTGTCTTTGTAGTCTTTGACTTTTGGTTTGAATGACTTGTAGTTTGCAGTCATTACCTCATCTGTTCTGGGTCTGCCGCGGTAGCGAAGAGAGCACTCGAAGCTTCTCAATCTGGCTTTGAACTCATTGAAGGTTAACGCTTCTCTTGTTTGTGTGACGTGGACAGAGAAGGGGCTGTATTCATCTGTAAGTCCTTTTAACACCATCGCCACCAATAGTGAATCACTGAGGGTCTCTTTAGCTCTATTCAGTGCGGCTACTATCTTCTCAACACGTGCGAGATAGCCCGCTAGCTCTTCTCCATCAGCCATTAGCACATTGGTGAGCTCTGTGTAAAGCCCGACGATTCGCGGCTTTTCTTCTGACTCAAAATGGCGGCCGCAGGATTTCCAAACTCTTCTTTCCATCATCTGGCGCTTCATACAGGATTAGCACTAGTGTCTTATCATCCAAACATCCACACAGTTCTGCATATGCCAGTTCATTTTTCCTACCAGCCTCCGCTGCTTCTGCTGGATTAGCTGCCGCTAGCGCACCTCCAAGGATAGCATCTTTTAGCCCAATCGTTTTTAGGTACGCTAAAAACCTTGCCTCCCAAATGTGGTAGCGGGCTTCGTCTCCGTCAAACCTCGGCGGCAGTCCGCGCCCGTGTAGCGCTGTGCTCGGGGCTTGCCTGGGCCCATAACCTGTTGACTCCTCTGCATGTCGCACACGGGAAGTCGTGCCCCGGTCTTCTTCAGACATGATAGTTAGCAGTGACACAAGACACGAGACAGGTGACTATTTTCATGCGGGCAGCCATACTGTGTGATTTCTCAATTGGCTCCGCCTTTATTTAAATGTTGCGTAACCTTCCGCACTAGAAAGTAGTGCCAACATCGCACTATAACAATATAACACTGTAACAACAATGTCAATCTGAAAGAGATTCCGGCAAATAAAATCCTATATTTTATAAAAAAGAACGTGTTTTTCATGAATTTAAGTTGTCTATGCTCTAACCTGTGTGTGACGTCATAGCGGGTAACGCCCATGCATTGAAAACCATGGATCTATGCCACAGGACTGCCTTTTCTCTCTTCTCTCCACTGATGCCCAACACAATACTGCCCTCTACAGGTGACAATTGCTCACTACACATACATTGCCGTTTTGAGAGTGAAAATGTGTCTCAGGTGGGATTTGAACCCCAGGTTCTGGATTGGCAGGGCATCGACACAACCACTGGACTATCTGTGCCAACGAAAAGTTACAATCTAGTATTTATGTCATACTCGCTGTACACGGCCTTGTCATCTTGAATATCCGCGAAAAAAGAACGAATACCAAATTGTAAACAACTTACAGCGTTGAAACGTACCCACTCTGACGTCACCAAGGGCTGTGAAGTTTTTTCGTCTCTAAGGGCGTTGCTATGGGGTTATTTCGATTTGGGGGGATCAGACAAAAAAAACAACAACTGATTTTGAAACCTTTAGTAGTTCTCTTCTAATATAAAATGGTATTAAAACTGTATTTCTAAATAAATCAAACCCGTCATAAGGTCTTTAATTTTAGCATTGTTAAATTGACCATTTCATATGTATGGCTTAACTTATGTATAATTGTTTCTGTATTTCCTGTTTAATTATTTCTATGTGTGCTAGTACGAGAACAATTCCATTTGCCGGCGTCCACAACCTTGATCTTAAAGGACTCTGCAGGAGTCGAAGTGGATCCTGACATATTTGATGAACTTCTAAAGTCTGCACAGGTGTCTTTAAAAGCCTTCACCGAAGAGTCCATCGGTGAGATATGCACATAATTTTCTACTGTACTGTTACCATAAGTGTTTTTTCTGCTGCACATCAGTTTTGTTTTGTTTTCTTAGGCAACCAAACTGAGGATTAGCCTTCAGACACTTCACTCTCGGAGGCTTCACTCTCAGAAGCTTCATTCTTTGAGTGGTCTCCATCACGCTCCTCTATTGCATCATCGTATTCAGGTTCTGGATCAGGCTCCGGTTCTGGCTCGACAATAACTCTGGAAATGGCCAAATCACAGAAAAGACAACTGCAGGAAGGTCCGCCTGACAGCACTGTAGCCAGAGATGTAAGTGTGTTTTTCAGAAACATATTTCACTGTATGTGTAACAGGGATATTTTCAATTATTGTTTCAGATCGTCATGGCAGCTCTACACTCAAAACCAGGTGGCGAGAAAATATTCAAAGAATATGACCAGAAAAAATGCCTTTCTGATGGCACAAGGAAAATAATGGTGAACATACTTGTGGCAGACATGGTGGACACTCATGGGTAAGCCAACATGCACTTTCAAAGCTTGTTTGTTTGTTCACTTAAGGTAGCTATTTACATGTTTTTCATTATTCTTTGTAGTTTTGAGTCAAGCCTTGTACATTTTTCTTAGTTTGTTAAATTTACCTGAATTTACCATGTCTTCTCAGGAGGATCCCCCCTGTGAAGGCCTGCATTTTGTATGCTCTTGGTATAATAATGTTGTTTCCAAACTTAAAGGATCCAGATTCAAAGGAAATGGATATGTATGTACAAATGGAATACGTTTTATTATATGTATATATAATTAATCCACTTGCTTTGCAAATAATATGATAATATGTACCTACGCAAACCATTCCCTAAACAAGCGGACTGCATTCACCGGTGGGTGTGTTGTCTAGGGGATGCTGGAAATGAGCGAGTGCAGATTATTTATCGCGACCTAACGTATATTTTTTTTCTAAAACCGTTAATTGATATGCTTTGCACTACAGGCGCCTCAGACAATTGATCGACGCAGTTGTCACACTGTGTCGCGTGTTTTAAAGAGGAAACTGGTGAGTCAACTAGCGCTAGCTGCGCTGCTTGTTAGCTATTCTTATATTTTTCTGTTGTGGGCCGCGAGGACCTATTATTATGAGTATGTTTTTGCTGTGCTCTCCTGCTTTAAAGTTTGCATACATTAGATAGTTGTTTTGATTTTGTGCACGAAGCTAGATTGAATATTTGCACTATTGTTTTGTGCATTGGATATGAGAATCGGCTTTGACTGATTGAATTAATTTATATGAGAACTTTTTATTAATGTAATGATATATGGTATTATGAGTATTACTAATACAGGAGGTTCCTTCCCCTCCATTGGTCACCTTCAGTCCTTTGGAACAATAACCACTATGGACATTAAATCTGCATTATTATAGATACAGGTCCTAGCCCAATACTCATATTTCATATATGCTGCCCTTGCTACTTCCATAAACAACCCCAAAGATAAAAGTATGTTGACACGGAATCTCTGCTCTGATTTTAATGTGTGGGTCTGTAGCATGTGTAACTGACGCCTGCATCTGGCACAAAATCCATGTAGATCACCGTAGATAGTTTTTGATTTACAGCAGCCAACGACATGAACAAACTGTTAGTCCATGGGGTTCAGAGACCAACTGAGAATGCACCAGAAAAATGATTCTAAATTATTTTGTTTGCCTACAAAAGTACGTGGAGGACCACAAGGAAACAAATCGCGGGTCAAAAAGACTCGAGAGGACTCGGAAAGTCAAACCGTAGGACTTGGTAGTGTTTTTGATGGCGATGACTTGAGATTTGTTGGCCTTTGATTGGACTCGACGCGGGACTTGCCGTGTCTTGACGGTGACTTGACTCGGGACTTGAGGGGCGATGAATTGAGATGACTTGTGACTTGCTAAACAATGACTTTGTCCCACCTCTGATATTGTACGAATAAGAGGTTTCAGATGGCATGTATATTACTGTACACTTCTTAGTCCTGTGGTACAAATGTGGACAGTAACATTTTTGACAACCAGAGCTCCAGACGATTTTTAAATTGCACAATCATAAGTCGCGTCTAATTTATCACAGAATCTGGCCTCAGTTTCTTTTTTTCTTTTTTTTTTAATAGGAACACTTCTATGACCACCAAAGTGGTCTCGGGCTACCCGGCGTATAGACTGAAAACTGTCCAGCACAACTCCTGATGACTCAGGAAATCAAAGTCTTCTTTTTCACGTGAGCCCCCAAAGACTCCCTCGTCCAATAAACACAACTGTGAGGCAGCGTGTTGGTGACCGAATCTAACGAGGCCATGTCTATGATGAGGCATTTCGCTGACAAGATAGATTGTCAAAGATAAAATGATGGCAACTTTTCAGCATAGACAAAAGTTGGTTTCAAGATCATTACTGGCCTCCAATGTTCTGGACATGTTCCCAGATTCTTGGACACCCCTGGCTGGTTAAGCAAGATGACTGTTTTGCGGATGAAATGTAATTATGCAATATATTACAATAAATTTGATATTTTCCAGACTTGATCAAGATTTTACACTGCTCTTTGGGGAGGAATTGTCTTCGGGAAATTCATTGCCAGGGTGGCCAACATTCTTTAACCAGGATATTTTCAGATTGCAAAAAATCTAGCCTCAAAGTGCTCACTCACTGACCTATCTTGTCTGCACAGGACTGGGTTTCATCCAGAGGGGGGGATGGGGGGTAGTCCCCCCTTATGCCATGGCCCTAGGCGGGGATACCCCTCCCAATTTTCTTAGACTTGCAGTTATACAATTCACACATCAAAAAAGTGCACTAACATTATTTTCATTGGGAGACATCTGATCTGGCTCACTGTCTAATCTTATAATCTAAAACATGATGATGGTAAAAAAAATTACATAAAACACCAAATCAGAAAACTTCCGTTACAGGAAAAAATATGTCTGAATCGGTAGGTCTCCTAGATGAATAGCGGTTCTCTTTTCGCGGTCTTGCAGATTTAATTTTTATCGTGATTTTCACTGTATATGAACTTGGTGTGTTCATCCTGATTGGGCAAGGAAGACCAGTGTATTGTGTTCTGCGTCCTGATGTGGCCTTAAGGAAGAACCAGTGTATTGTGTTCTGCGTCCTGATTGGCTATAAGGAAGAACAGTGTATTGTGTTCTGCGTCCTGATTGACTAAGGAGAGAACCAGTGTGTATTGTGTTGTGCGTCCCTGATTGGCTAAGGAAGAACCAGTCGATTGTGTTCTGGTCCT